AAAGAGAGCAAAAAGCAAAAAGGAGCAGTCAGTGGGTCCCCACGCTGCCCAACAGCTCTCACCATCTAGATGCTGTGCCTTGCTCAACCACAATCAACCGTAACCGAATGGGCCGTGACAAGAAGAGGACCTTTCCCCTGTGGTGAGGTTTTACAAGTAAACTATAACGTGCCACAGGGGTGTGTGTGTGTGTGTGTGTGTGTGTGTGTGTGTGTGTGTGTGCGCCAAAAGGTAAAATATATCCACAAAACTGTGCACAGTCAAAAAACTGGTGGATGTCAGGCAAGCTCACGTGTCATGTCAAAAGAATTCCATAGTTAAACAGTCATAATCCAGCATTGCTTCTTGTGCTGTGCTTAGTTTCGATGACCACGACCCTGCAGTAATCCATGAGAACGCAGCCCAGGTAGAGGCTCTGGTTCCAATTCGCCTAGACATGGAGATAGATGGACAGAAACTGCGAGATGCCTTCACGTGGAACATGAATGGTATCTATGGCTCACAACTTACCAACATCAAAACGTGAAAGTGTTGTCTAAGTTTTTTTGCTGTCTCAGGTTGTTGTCATTTTTTTAATTTTGTCTAATTTCACCCACCCCACACCCTCTTAGAGAAACTGATGACCCCAGAGATGTTTGCCGAGATTTTGTGCGATGACCTGGACCTGAATCCCCTGGCCTTTGTCCCTGCTGTTGCCTCAGCCATTCGTCAGCAGATTGAGTCCTACCCCACTGACAGCATACTAGAAGAGCAGGCAGACCAGAGAGTCATCATCAAGGTGAGTGCTGAATGAAAACAACAGTTCTTTGTGGAAATCATGGGAAATCATCAGGGTGGAAGGAGGTTACTGTGTTTGAGTCCCGTGCTGCTCACCCATTAGAAAATGTGGAGAACATGAGAGAAGCACATTCTTTTGGACTATGAAAATGTTAATAATGTTAGTTAGTAATGCTAAAGGCAGGGAATGTAACGTGGGGCATTGTTACATGATTTGTGAACATTGTATATTATCTGTCCAACTCAGTTTAGGACATTGCAGTGGGCAGTACTGCCAGAACCGCTTCTGTCATTAATGGAAACATCATATGTCTTTCTTCTGTTTGGCTGATAATCATGCTTCGAATGGAAACATCATATGTCTTTCTTCTGATAATCATGCTTCAAGGGTTTGCCCTACACTTCCCATAAAGCTTTGGGGAAGGAAGTATAGTGTTGCCATAAATCCACTGAGTTACACCATTTTTGTAGCATATTTATTTACATTTTGACAAATTGGCATTCTATATAAGTATGCTGAATTTGCTGCACAGCATTTCTTGTTGTCATTGCACCAGTGGATCTCTCTAGTCTTCACTAGATTTGCTTTGATGCTAATGAAAAGCTGGCAACTTTTTGATGCAAATTGCTGCAATCAGGCACTTGATATTCATCATGAGCTACGTGTCACAGCTGCTGCTGCTGTTTATAAGCGGGCCAAATTACAATAACCGGCCTCCTTTTGTTTCTGCAGAACCGGCATGCACCTACACCTTTTGCCTCGTGCAGTGTCTCCTCCAAAAACTGTCCCCTGTTTTTTCACCCCGATGACGGAAGAAGGCTGACAGCTCTTTAGAAAGTGAATGGATTGAGACAGATTAGAAGCCAATGTAATGTTAAAGGGGATTAAAGCCACATACTGGTAAGGTGTTTCTGTGTTTGTTTTCTCAGCTGAACATCCACGTGGGGAACATCTCTCTGGTGGACCAGTTTGAGTGGGACATGTCTGAGAGGGAGAACTCCCCAGAGTCATTTGCGCTGAAGCTGTGCTCTGAACTAGGTCTGGGAGGAGAGTTTGTCACCACTATTGCCTACAGCATTCGTGGTCAGCTCAGCTGGCACCAGAGGACCTACGCCTTCAGGTAGCTCAGCCACTCTCTCTAACAGAGCTGGTAGACCCATTGGGTTCAGTAGTCTAAACATGGTTTGATTTAGGCAGACGATGAACATGTATTAAGAAGGTCGGACTTGAAAAGTACAGTATACTCCAAAGTGTTAGATCCTGCCAGTGACCTGAGAATGACCTGGTGATATTTGGTCTAATATAGTTGCCTGTCCACAGTGAGAACCCACTCCCCACAGTAGAGATTGCCATCCGCAACACAGGCGATGCGGACCAGTGGTGCCCCCTGCTGGAGACCCTCACAGATGCTGAAATGGAGAAGAAGATCCGAGACCAAGACAGGAACACGAGGTGAGAGTTGGATACACTCAGTAAAGCATGACAGTTTCCACATAATGTCATCCCACTAAACCAAAAGTCTATTACAACAACACTCAAATGAATGGTGTCATTTTGAAGAATAAAGCATGACTGCTGATGCTGCAGCAGGGTGGCTAAATGTAAATTTGCAGTTAATGGCATAGCAGTCAAATAAATGGTTCAACAAATAAGCTAAATGGCAAATTGGCAAACACTGAGTTGAACAGCTGGTCAATGCTACTGTAGTACATTCTGAGTTAACTGGTGCTGTCACACAATGCCATCAGAATGGGAACAACAGGAATATTTGGTATTCTTCCAACTTGGGAGTGTTCCACTGCTAATCTTGTAGCCACAGTAGATATATTTGCTACTTTGGTGGTGTTATGTATGTGTAGCAGTTTACTAAAGTAAAACAGACACAAAGGCCACTAAAAATACCCTCTGTGTTCTAATCAGCCAAAAATGATGGTTGGCTTTTCAGACTTTTCCGTCATTAATAAAAAAATTCATCAGTTACGACAAATATTTGGTTAATGGAACCTCTTGTGTACTCCACCATATTGCTCGGCAATTTTGATACATACAGTAAAGGTCATTTATAGAAAGCTGGAGTGTACACATGATGGAAGTGGATGCTGCAGATACAGCATTGAGCAAATGAGCTGGTTTTATTGTTGGTCATTTGCACTACTGTCCATGTACATTTCATAAGTTATTATACATCCCATTCAACGCCCCTGGTGATGCTGACCACCTGACAATCTTCTTGTTATTATTTGCACTACTGTCCCTGTTTGCACATGGCTTTGAGTTTCTTCATAGCCTATTAGGTTGTACCATCTAGTTTATCCTGATTACTTTAATTCAGTTTTCATATTCTGTTTATTCTGTGTTTATTCTACTTTTATTCTGTTTTAGTTTCTTAAATGGTATGGGCATTCAACATTAGGTGAGAGAGAAACAGTATTTCAATTTTTCTGTACGTCCTGCACAAGATCTTTGATCTTGATCTTTATTATCCATATCTTATACCAACTTATTATAGCCTATTACAGAAGAAAACAATTCAGTCCTCATGCCGCTGTTGTTTGTTGCTCTCAGCAAACTGCTTGAGATCTACCTCTGGAGATCGACCCATTTGCAAATTTAAAGTGCCAGCCCAGTTTAACACATCTGGTGCCACTCATCAAGCAATAAGTGTCTAACTTGTTTAACTAGAGGATCGTAATGTGGATACAATGTGTTTTTCTAGGCGTATGAGACGACTGGCCAACACTGCTCCGTCCTGGTAGAAAGAGTCTTGAAGCTGCATGAGGTGATGTATCCTGTGGAGACTCCTGTTACTCTGAACTGATCAAGTAAATACACAGAATTAAACACACAGGTCATTGATGAAGCATCTGGACATTCGCATGAATGCAGATGTGGTCATTCACCACAGCGCCTCACTGACCGAACGCAACACATACATCGGCTGTTCCTCTGCACACACAGTACACGCTGAGCAGCCAAAGCATTATGACCGATTTGGCTCTTGTCATTTGCTCAGGTCTTTACATCTGCCCCTTTCTCTCACTTCCCAACACGTTGACCATCTAAGATCCCAGACCTTGACATGTGATGCTGTTGCAGCATGAGCAGTGTTATCTTCTGAGTGGTTGTAATGTTTTGGCTCATCATTTTTCACTTTGTCTTTTGGACATCAGTCATGCGACAACTCGCATCTAATTGCTGTTTGCCACCGATGGTTTTCTTGTTACACAAACCACTGGCAACATTCACACTCAACACAGTATTAAAGCACAATGACTCAATTTAATGTATGTGTATAAATGGTTAGTGAAATGACACCACGGGTTTATGTTACACTGGTCTGGACAGCATTCATATAACGGCAACAGGACAACGATGACAAATAGTTTAAAGTTTCATCTGACCACTTGGGATTATTGAGACAGGGTCGACAGAAGAATTTTCAATCAAAAATAGTGAAAAGGTGTCATGCAGTTTTGTTGTCCCACTTTCCCAAATCACTGTCAGCTGAACATGTTTTGGTCTGTCAGACACACCACCATGGGCTCTGGGAAGTTGTGATGGCTACTGTTTATTTTTTGGCATTTTATAGATGCAGCGAATTAGTTCATAAAAAACATAATTAGCGGGTTAATCAATAATGAAAATAACTGTTAGTTGTAGCCCTAGGTTTTAGGTGGCAGAGGAACTTTGAGTAGTAGTTTTTCAAAATGGCTTTGCACCTCAAACCTTTATTGGTGGATGACTGTATGATCACCCTGTGTGTAGGCCCTGACTTTGGCGACTAATAGTGGGAAGACCAAAATATAAAAGAAGTCCCACTTCTAACTGGGCTGCTGAGAATTAGTGAACTATTAACCCACACTCCTGTGTCATTACAATGATTTGAAAGATGCAGTAATCACATTGAAAGTCCTCTGTATAGGGGTTTTAACTGAGCCACATCACTGCTTTGGCTGCTGCTTTGTTCGGAGGCTAGCGTTTTTTCCCCCAACTGAAATGACTGATGTGCATGTATATACTCAGAAGAGATCATTCCTTGGTAACGTTACTGCTGTGACGGTGTCAGTGGCTGTGATCTGTAGTGTCTGCAGCCAATCCGAGAGTCAGTTGATTTTAGCATGTAGACTCTGCGAACAGAACTTTGTTAGTGAGTCTGATCAGTTATTTGTTATCTGCATGCTAAAACATAATTCATACTGTACCCTGTGCATGAGGGACCGATTGTTCCCACTGCTGCCTGCGTTTGCTCTGCGCCTCATGTTGCGGTGCAGTCAGCAGACGGAAGCCTCTGTTTTACTTGGTGCTTTTGGTTAAGTTGGGGAAGGAGATGTGTCTTTTAAAATGATTATTTTCAACTTGAACATACTCTGAAGAAACAAATGTATGTACTGTCACGTTTTGTCTTTCTTTTTATTATTGTTTTGTAAAATTGCTTTACCTTTATAGTGGGCTGAAATTTATATGAAAAAAATAACAATAAAGAAAACATGTTGGAAAGATGTTTTGTTAATTGTGTTTTTTAATTTGCATGGATGAAAATGCACATTGTGGCTGTATGAAAGAGAGGTTAGGGGACATGAAGGGCAGTGACAGAATCCTTCTGTCAATCTGACAGAAATTTTGGTATTAAATGTGTCAAAATTCTGAGAATGATGTATTACATATTTTTAAATACTATCTTAAAATATATTTTGCTTCTGTGCAACCTTACACTTTGGTTTTTCATTTTTTGCTTCACTTAGAACTTGTTGCTGTGTAGCACTCTTGTAATGGATCTGCATGCTGGGAGTTGAAAATATAAAGACTGGTCTCTGACTCAGTCTGTTACCCAGCCTTCATAACAAAAAAACTGTTAGGAGCCCATGGGACACAATATTTGTCAGATCAAATTGATTTTATGATCAGTGTTAATTCCTCAACATTAAAAGGTGCTTCTAGTTTGAAGGTTTATTATTAATGTTGGAAATACCTTAACAAAAAAGATTCTTAACTCAAGGTCCTCTTCTTGGATTTTTTTTTTCCTAGAGTTTTAGCTGCATCTTGTGCCCTTTATCAGTGGATGGTGTTTGTCCCCTTCGTCATGAAGATCTACGGTATATACAGTATATACACATACAATATTAGTATCTAATACTAGCATGTCCTTAGTAAATACATGTGGTATAATCAAGATAGTATTTAATAAATGTTTTATGTTTCTGTGCCTCAACTGATTTTGCTCTCCCCAGAGGTATGTAAAGAGTTCCACAGTTTGGGTCCAGAAGTACAGAAAGCATGTTCATCCTAGGTGTTTATTTGGCAGATCTGACTGCTGTAATGGAGACAGCCCATGTTTAATGTTGCCAGGGTGCCAGATATCAAAGAGTTTACAAATTATAAATGGTATGCAATCCTGTGTGAACATGTGCAGACCTGGTGTCCCTCAGGGAGAGTTTCTGTTGCTCAAAATGCAGTCAGCACATTTATCCTTTGTGTCCTCCCCACAGAAGAACTTCATCCCATGCAGCCTTGACGTTTATCACACCTCAAAGTTAAAAAACATCCGCTCCCAATAAAAGCTGAGTCAAAATCAGCAATACTACTCGCAGAAGAAATGAAAAAATCAGTTAAAATGTTTATTCTTTTTGGTTTTATTGTAAAGTAAAAACTTTATTCACATCAAAAGTACATTGTGTTCTGACTGAAACAAATGAATATAATAAGACAAACAGATCCGTGTATGCTAAAGGTACATCAATAGATCCTATATTGACATGTTGACATGTCACAAGTGACAGTGTCCAAGCTGCACTGAACTGCTCTTTTTACAGACTCACCACCACAATGTATTTCTACGTCAATGTCCTGCACTGATTAGAAACACAGACCCACTGAATACAACTTAACACAATGTTTTATTTGTAAAAATATACAGTAAGCCAAACAATGGTGAAGCACCAAGTAGGACTGAAACACTTGATTTATATCAGACTACATTTTATATTTTAGCCAAGTGTAATTGTTTTTCTAAGGAAGGTCCAAAAAATGCACCGAAGCTGAGTAGTGAAAAAACCATTGTTTGTGTTGTGTGAGGTTTTCCTTGCCTACAGAACCTAAAATAGTACCTTAAATATTCAAAGATGTAGCACACCACTTCATTCATTTTCAACAGGATGCAGTGAATTTATACAAATCTACTTGACCAAATTACCCAGAGACTCTGGGCCAGAGTTGACTTTCAATACTGCCCGTCAGTGAATATCATTCTCATCGACTTTGTCACGCAAACTGCTCAACAAGCAACCCCTTTGCTAGTCAATGCCAGGATAACAATTTCTTTTTCTTAATGATAAATACTAGACTGGAATGCTTTTGTGAATAATGACATAATTACAGTACCGTGCTGCACTGTAAAGTAAAAATCAAGTCCTGAGTTGAGAAGGCTGACTACACAGAGTGCACCAGGCTCTGACCTACTGTACATGGTGTTTTGAACTGCCTGGTGTGTGTGTGTAAGCCCAAGGACCTAATGACTCGAATCAAAGGAAACTGAGGAAGCAGTCAAAGCAGAAATGAGAATAACATGTTTTGGAAATAAAAATAAATGCCAAGGTTTGTCGACGTGAAGCTAAGCGGCCCTTAATCCTATACAGGCCAGCTCTCATGATCCTGGTTAAATGTCAGCATTTTCACATCTCAAGCATTAGCATAATTTTACCACATTCAATCTGGATATCCCCTAAAGGAGACCATTTCTATACTGGGTGCCATTGTATGAGTCATCACAATGAGACTACAGAGACAGAGTTCTCGAAGGGAGATCAAAGAGTAGTGGGATAAAGCTAGGGTTTCCTGTGATTTTAAAATGATTACATTCTGGGAGGTCCACACACTGTAACTGCAGATAATTGCAAAATGTCATTTATGATAAATTTCTGATGCTGTTCTTCAGCTTAGAGCAATAAGTCATGATAAAGGTACACTATGCAGAGTCATCAGATCTGTTTGTCAGCGTTCTTTAATACATCAAAGCGGTTACAGGAGTGCGCGACCGTTCTTATAGTGCTGACTTGCATGTAGCCTGGTAATCATACTGGATCTCAATTTTGTTTTCAGCACATTTAATATGTTTTACTATTAAATATCATTACTAATAGGTTATTGTTTTTATTGTGTTATTAGCATTTTAATCACTGAAAAAAACAAAGGTGGTTTAGACATCCCACCTAGTGTGAAGTGGGACAGATGACAGTAAACAGCTAATGGCTGACTGCTTGCTAAATGGCATTTCATTTTCTATTTCTACACACATTAAATATGGAAGATGTAACAACTGAATGTAAAGTCTTTGATGGTGCTGTCCTGAGTAAAAAATAAAAGTAATGTAGCTACTGTAACTACTTTAGTAGCAACTAATACGTAATGAGTGATCGTCTACTGTACAGTTTTTGAGGAAACTGCCAAAACTCACAATTAGACCTTTGCCCACAATCACCTTCTGGTATTTTGCACAGAAATAGTTGTAGATTTTGTTGAGATTTTCTAGGAAATATAGGCTGTTCAATCCTAGAAACAGCCAGGAGGAGGGTGGCTTTTTGCTTTGCCTGTGGGTGTGGTCATTCACTTTGGCAAGAGTTTGTTGTTATACTCTCATTGGTTTTGAGTCAACTTAATGAAATACATCAGTCTTAAATATATTTCCAAAATGTTCTTTGTGGGTAATTAAGATGAAAAGTCAATCCACTGCTCTTCAGAACTTATGAATATACATGTGTATGAACGTATTTAGACGGCAGAGCAGCCAAAGAAGTCCATGCCGATGCTGCGGGGGTAGCCTTCCAGCACCTTCAACGCTATAGGGTCAAACTTCCAATAGTGCAGCCCACTCAGGAAATTGGCATAGCCTGTCCGAGGGCCAGAAAAAGCAAGAGTCAGCTATGGATTTGCAGAATAATTTGCACTTTTACAAGGCACTAAAACAGAGGAAGAGAAAACTCATTTGAACCTTAAAATGTAGCATTTCTCTTATCCCATTTCTCACCATATATGTCCTGAAAAGCTGCATCAATATGGCTGGGCATTCCTCCCCATTTAAGCATGCTGCGAGGATAGACGTCATCAATTTGATTCTCCTGAGGATTAAAGGCCCAGTAAGAAGTGGACTTGAAGAGGTAGACTTTCTCAGTGTGGTGCTCTTCCCACTTCAAAGCTGCTTGGATATTTGTTACAGGAAGACCCAGCTGTTGTACCGAATCTGGTCCTGTTATCTTCTTCTCAGCATCAAACACCCAGTAGCTATCACCTGTCACAGTAATAAGATGGATTAACATAAAGTTTGGTCCTCATATGTCATAGAATACACTCAATACTATCTTTAGCCAAAACATTTACAACTAAAGAGTTATGTCGTAAGTTAATACTAAAATGATAAAATAGGAAAAACAGAAATCTATATTTTCATTAATAAATTCCACTTTTTGCATTATTTGTTATTGAGCCCAGTGTATTAGAACAACATGAGTTGCCACTAGGTGGAATAGTACTCTGTTTCATTTTGTCTGAGTTTTTGGTATTTTTTCTTTCCTTACACTGAATCTTTTGACACTAATCATTTGGAGCTCACCAAAAACAAAATGTTCAGCTGCTTTTAAGTTGCTTTCATTTGTTTTTGTTCAGTAAAATAAGACAAAAATGTAAAATGAAAACTGATGACAACATAACTTGTGAATTATCTTGAGTAAACATTGTATCTGGAAAGACATTGCTGTTAAAATTACAAAACTTTGACAATCCTTTCAGTGCTGGAACTTCAAATGAAACTTGAACTATGAATTCAGCTACTAGTATTTTGACTGCATATTTTCATCAGCAAGCATACATACATAAAACATCCAAAAACTGAAGCCTTTTTGAGTTTGCTTCTGAATGATGATGTTACCTTGGAAGAACCAGATATTGCCAGACTTGTCTTCATATGCAGCATCGATGTAGTCAGGAAAGACTCCCCAGTGGCGGGAAGTCAA